AAGACTTTCTTTCTTGGACTGTCATCTCTCTTCACCCTAATTACCTTTCCCCAGATTCCCAAATATTATTCAACCCCATCTCAAATTATTTTTTTGGTGCTGCCAGTCCTACCCCTGAAATTGCATGCAGGAATGTGTATTTTCAGGAGTTGGTGACATTTGAGGATGTGGCTGTGTACTTTATCCGGAAGGAGTGGAAGCGTTTGGAACCTGCTCAGAGGGATCTCTATAGAGATGTGATGCTGGAGAATTATGGGAATGTATTCTCATTGGGTAAGGAGTTAATGCTTTTTCAATAAAACTCCCTTGGCATTTCTTTGCTTCCTTATTTGCTAATAACAGTTGAATCAGTGAAAATAATTAACTAAGGACTGACTTAGTCTCAGAAAATTCTAACAGTAATTATAGTAACTCCCATTTGTACAGTACTTTGCAGTTTATAAAGAGGTTTAGTATATATATTTTCTCTCACTTAATCTTCACAGTAACAGCCGTGGAAGTAGCAAGAATTATCCTCATTCTATAGGTGAGGAAAGGGAGGTCAGAGGTCTTAAGTGTTTTACACATGGTCCTATAGCTGTTGGTGGCAGCTCAAGCCCTGGTCTTTTAAGTCCAAATATGATGCTTTTTCCCTTGCTATTCTTAGAATTTAACATATAATCCAGAGACTTTTCCAAAAGATTAGCATATTGGGATCCCTGAACTTGTGAAGTACTGGTCTGTGCCCAAGTGAACATTCTGGAACTCAGTCTATCTCCTTCCCTTGTCTGTTGAACTGCCTCTAGGGACTTGTTGGTTTGTTCATGATCTAATGCAACTGCTGCTCTGGTAGAAATTTTAATTTGGTATAGGGAGCAATTATCTTTTTAACCTTTAGTTTGTAGACTGTTAATTCCTTGTCTCTTTCCTACTTTCAGTGAAAACACTTTCCTGAGCAGTGCCAGGTCTTCCCAACTCCTAATTGAGACCTCCCTGACATTTCCTTTCTGTGCCCTGCAGATCCTAGGTCTGGGATTGAGCTCTGGGCCTGCTTGATATGAGCAGGCTAAAACCTTGTTCCATCTTTTTTCCCATGAGCAGTATTCCCATTTCTGTGTTGTTGTTGTTTTTTTTAATCTTCATCCGAGGAATAAGGATTTTTTTCCATTGATCTTTTTTTAGACCATATGGAAGGGAGGGGGAAAGGGAGGAGAGAGAGAGAAACAGCGATGTGAGAGAGACACATTGATTGGTTGCTTCCCAAACACGCCCTGATTGGGGCTGGGGATCGAACCTGCAACCCAGGTATGTGCCCTTGACTGGGCATCAAACCCGAGATCCTCTGGTGTGCAGGCTGATGCTCTAACCACTGAGCTTGCCAAGCAGGGCTCCCGTTTCTGTATTTTGACATATCTAGGGTGAGGAAGAGCTGAGGGTCCTGGGTTTGAAGGGAATTAAAAACAGAGAGATTCTGAAAGGTACCTGTTCAGGTGAGGGAGGAATAGCTATGTCTGTTCCTAACACTTTTTTATTGACAGCCTAAAAATACTAATATCTAGACCCTTTATAGTTATTTTCTGTGTGTGAAGTTCCCTTTATTTCTAAGACAGTGAAAATAGAGCAATCAAATATGGAAATTGTTTACATATTCTCACATCATAGCATAGCCTTCTAGGCCTAAGGCCCAGAAATGGACTTTTGCCTGTTTCCTGAATTTGACATATGTGGCACAGCTACAAACAAGTATTCTTTTCATCTAGGGCTGTAGGGGGTCACTAATGACGTCAATCTTGGTGTTCCTTCCTGCTCTGCTACTGTTTCTCAACACCTCCCCACTTTTCTTAAACAGTTCTGGTAGTCACCATCTCCCAAATTATATCTATAGTCTTTAACCCCTCCGAGGACTTTCTCACTTCATTAAACAATATGTTCCTCCCTGCCTCTACCTGATCCATTCTCTCCTTATAATCCAATTTTCTCTATACTTCTAGCTGTTATCTCAATTTTGCTTCCTGCCTTTCTCCTTCCCTGTTTCCTCTTATTTTGCCTTAGCTACACACAGCCTGGGCAGATAAGAGGCATGCCCATGATTATCCTGTCCTCTGGTTTTGATTTTTCCACAAGGAACCAGTGATGTTTGTATTTTGTATTGTGCCAGATGGTGAGACCAGAACTGAGCATGACCAAGACATTTCTGAAGATACAGAATCAGATGGGGTGCTATTGGGAAGATTCCAAAAGGATATTTCTCAGGGTCTTAAGTTTGAAGAAGCCTATGAAAAAGAAGTCAGTCTCAAGAGGCAGCTGGGGAACTCTCCTGGAGAAAAACTGCGTAGGAAGACACAAGATTTTGGTCAAGTGACAGTTGAGGAAAAGCTAACCCCCATGATAGAGAGAAGTGAGAAATATGATTTTGGGAACAGCTTCACTGTGAGTTCCAACCTTATTTCACATCAGAGACTCTCTGTGGGAGACAGACCCCATAAGTGTGATGAATGTAGCAAGAGCTTTAATCGAACTTCAGACCTTATTCAACATCAGAGAATTCACACTGGGGAAAAACCCTATGAATGTAGTGAATGTGGGAAGGCTTTCAGCCAGAGCCCACATCTGATTCAGCATCAGAGAATCCACACTGGAGAGAAGCCCTATGAATGTAATGAGTGTGGGAAGGCCTTCAGCCAGAGCTCACACCTCTACCAGCACCAGAGAATCCACACTGGAGAGAAGCCCTATGAATGTATGGAATGTGGAGGAAAGTTTACCTATAGTTCAGGCCTTATTCAGCATCAAAGAATTCACACAGGGGAGAATCCCTATGAATGTAATGAGTGTGGGAAAGCCTTTAGGTATAGTTCAGCTCTTGTTCGCCATCAGAGAATTCACACTGGAGAGAAGCCTTTGAATGTAATGGGAATGAGCAAAAGTTCTCTCAGAGTTACTGCTGAATTAAATATCAGAGAGTCAACCTGAAAGAGAGCCACACACCTGTTTTTCTCACTTCCTCTGCGTCTGAAGACCCCCTGCCTTACTATAAAAGTATGAACAACTTAGGATGTGTCCCTTCTGATGCAAATCTTCCACTTTAGAGAATGGGGAAAATTGGGCAGGTCGTCCTGGCACAGTGATTAGCAACCTGGTCAGTTTCCCCAGGAACAATACCAGCCTTAAAAAATTAGGAGGCAAGCAGCAGATTAAGTGCTGGAAATGGAGGGAAGCTCTGGGACCAACCACCTTCCATTATGGAAGGGAGTTTGCACTAGACCGTATTTCTCATACCAAGGGAGCCTTTCTTACCAGGGTGAGGGTGGAAGCACAGTAGGAGTAAAATTCTAAGGATTCCTATTGGAGTCAGTATAGTCAGCACAGATGGCAGTGGAAAGAATGTTCTGGGTCCTGTTACTGAGAAAGGGGAAAGGAATTTCAAATGCGTTGAAGTAACTGCAAGCTGTTAAAAAAAGAAAAAGAAAGGGGAAAGGATGCTGTACGTGGAAGCCACTGTTCCTAATCCAGCTTTAAGTTTTGATAAGGAAATAGGGTGATGAGGGATTTGTTATTTGATTGGGGGCGAGGAGTTTCTGAAAGCATCCTGGCAATTTTATTGGAGAACTCAGGACTAATAATTGGGAAATATAACTAATCAGTGAGTCTAACATGAGGAAATGGATCAAAAGCATTTAGCATTAGTCTTTGTTTTCTTTCCTCTTCTCTCCCTCTTCCTCATCACTCCTGTGATAAGAAGTTATTTAATTAAAACCCTAGTGACTAAGGATGCTTTTAAGGAGCTTGCTCAGCCAGCTTGCCCTGCTCTCTGTCACCTATGACCTGTAACATCTGGCCCAGCAGCCAAACTTCTGACCCCACCTCTGACTTCAACAGCAGAGTATGAATGCAAACAAAGAGCAAAGCCCAGAGAAGGAAGGCTCTGGCCTGTGCCTGGTGGCAGGGCTCCTTGCTGGGTTAAGATGGAGCTCCTGAATTTACCAGCTGGAGGGATGGCCTCATGATGTTTTCCCAATCCTGCTCATCCTGTAGCATAAATGAAGTGCACTATTAAACAGAATAGTTTTTCAGAAGGAGGGCTTGAGTGTGTTTTTGTGTAGGGGCCAAGTTTATTTTAGTTTAAACAGTGACTGTAAATGAAATCTAAAAATTAACCTTAAAAAATTTTTATAACTTCATAGCAACACAGTAGTGACATAGGGAAGATGAGGCAGAAAGAACTCTATGAGAAAGGCACAGAAGCATGAAACACCTGGCATGTTGAGATAAGTGTGCTGTGCTTAGAGCAGCGGTTCTCAACCTGTGGGCCGTGACCTCTTTGGGGGTCAAATGAGCCTTTAACAGGGGTCGCCTAAAACCAGTGGAAAACACATATATAATTACATATTGTTTTTGTGATTAATTACTATGCTTTAATTATGTTCAATTTGTAACAATGAAAATACATCCTGCATATCAGATATTTACATTACGATTCATAACAGTAGCAAAATTACAGTTATGAAGTAGCAACGAAAATAATTTTATGGTTGGGTGTGACCACAACATGAGGAACTGTATTAAAGGGTCGCCGCATTAGGAAGGTTGAGAACCACTGCTCTAGATACTACTATAGACTATTCCATCATTTACACAATCTCTCCCACCTTTATATCCACATACAGGTTTTCTTGTGCTGCATATCATTCTGTGTGGTATGATACTTAAAATCAGCAACTAAAGCTAGAAGGGTTACTGGGCATGAGGTCCCTGATAAGAACTTATTTGGATGTTGGTAGCAATGGGCATATTTAGATTTTAAATTTATTGTTGAAAGTATTGCAGATAGATGTCCCCTTTATTTCCCCCCATTGACCTCTTCCTCACTCCTTCCCCCTCTCTAAGCCTTCACTGCACTATGCATGGGTTTTGCATATATGCATGTAAGTTCTTTGGTTAATCCCTTCCCACTCCATGCCCCCTCCCCTTCCCTCTGCGAATCCTCAGTCTGTTGAATGCTAACAAGAAAGTCTAATGGAGAGGATGAGGAAAGGTCTGGAACTCTAGCCTATGAAAAATTTTGGATCATGTATTATGATCACCTAATGTGTTTTAAATTTCTTTCCCTTTTCAGTGGGACCTGAGACTGATTGCGGGCCATTACATAAAAAGTGTTTTTTAAAAATGTCTCGAACTATTTTCATAACATTTTATTCACCTCATTTCCCTGATTATTCCTATTCCCATCAATTCCTCTTAATCCTAACTGAGCAATCCTTAATGTATATGATACCCATTTGTCTCGGTGAGCCCATTTATTTCCAAGGCCTCCACTATTCGACACAAGTAAGTTTTAAATCTGCAGGTGTGGTACTGATCTCTCCCAAACTCCAGTCTTGGGTCTCTGGCAGACTGCAAGGCATTTACACTTGGATCTTTTTAAAGTTTCAAATGATGTGTTTCAAATTAGATATGTCTTCCCCATCAATGCCCCCTCTCAAAATTTCTGCAAACCTCTCAGAGTCATAACTTCTGAGTTTTTATTTTTAAATATATATTTTTACTGATTTCAGAGAGGGGGAGAGAGATAGAAACATCAATAATAAGAGAATCATTGATCGGCTGCCTCCTGCACACCCCTTGCTGGGGATGGAGCCCACAACCTGAGCATGTGGCCTTGACCGTAATCGAACCCTGCACCCTTCAGTCCGAAGGCTGACGCTCTATCCACTGAGCCAAACCAGCTAGGCAACTCATATGTTTTTAAATTATTTGTATTCTTCATCTAACCAACATCAATCCCGTGCAGGTTCAGTGAGCATGCAGTAGAAAGAGAAGAGGTTATCAGTGGGGAAGTTTTCAGAGTTGAGATCATGGAGGAAGTGGGATTTCCAAGTGATGATAATAATAGATGACATATGCATATACTGTACCTGGCCCCTTTCCAAATGTTTTTCTTGTATTAAATTATTTAATCCTCACTGTGACCTGTGTGTAAGGCAGTTGTTAGTATGATCCCATTTTACAGACGAGGAAATAATTAGACTTGCCCAGTGAGATATAACAATGAGCTCAGGGTTCTACTTAGTGGAGGCTGGGCCCCAGGTAGATGGCTTGCATGTGAGATGGGGAGGCACCCACCTCTGAAGAGAACCCTATCTAGGCAATGATCTTGTCCTGTCAGTTATGATTCTACAATCTCCATAGTTCGTCCATTGCTGTTAACTTGAGTTCAGGTCTTCATTCCCCCCTGAATTATATAGTCTCCTAATGGATTGATATCTTCATTTTCTCTCACTACAAATCACCCCCCAAAGCACTATACCCAATTTTTCACTTCTTTATCATAAAGTTTCAGTGACTGCTCTTCTTACAAAATAAAATTCAAACCCTTTATGTAGCTTTATGTAGTCAAGGCTTTCCTTGAGCTGGTTGCCACATAAATGTATGGTCTTAATTCTTAATGCTCCTCTTCACACATCTGAAAATCAAATGTGTGAAAAGCCAGAGCTGGCAGGGCAGTAAAAACAGATTCTATTCAGAACGATTGCAATAGGGGGAAAGAGAGCTCAATAAGAATTGGACCCTGCCCTCTCCAGGTGGCTCAGCTGGTTGGAACATCATCCTGTGCCCCAAAGGGTTTTGGGTTCGATCCCTATTCAGGGCAAGTAGGAGAGATACCCGATCAATGTTTCTCCCCTGCTCCCCATTCCTCTCTCTAACATCAATTAGAAAAGACACAAAAACATGTCTTTGGGTGAGGATAAAAACAAGAACTGGCCTAATTCTGAATACAGCATGGCCAAGTGGGGATTTATAGCTAAGGAGCAAGGGTGGGGGTCAGTGGATGACAATTTTCAATTTCAGGGGTGAGAGGGGTTTGGGCTAAATGGACCTAATAGGATCCTTGCTAAAGACAGGCCAGGTTGGTTAGATGTTGCTATGAAGTGATCTGGAGGATGGGGGACTTGCTAAAGTGGGCGTAGAAGGTTCAGGATCCTGAGTAAGATTTAGTCAAGCAAAGAATCTTGTCACATCAAATAGCAAGATTATAACAAGGCCACATACAAACTTAGGTTCATGACCATGAACTTGTTTGCTCAACAGTGTACCCATACCTTGCTCCAGTTCCTCACATCCAATCAATAAAAATCGGAGTCCAATGCCCTGCCCGGTTTGGCTCAGTGGATAGAGCGTCGGCCTGCAGACTGAAGGGTCCCAGGTTCGATTCCAGGCAAGGGCATGTACCTTGGTTGCGGGCACATCCCCAGTAGGGGCTGTGCAAAAGGCAGCTGATCGATGTTTCTCTCTCATCGATGTTTCTAACCCTGTATCCCTTTCCCTTCCTCTCTGTAAAAATTCAATAAAATATTTTTTTAAAAAAATCGGAGTCCAAGAGGGCCTGAGAAACCATTTTCAATCTCCCACTCTGCAGAAACTTTCAACAGTACTGACAGATGACGATTCATTCTCTATTGTAATATTTTCAGGGAAAAGAGGCTCGTTGCACCAGGCAAAAGCAGGCAGTTCCACTGTTGAGCATTCTGGAAATTAAGTGAAACCGAATTCTGTCTTCTTGTAAGCTTCTGCCTTACAGTTAGCTTGTGGTTTTGTATTATCTGTGAAATGAGGATGGACAAGATTTCTAAGGACCCATCAGTCATAGCAAAAGCAATTTCATTCCTAACTACCCCCACGCACTCCAAGTCATACCTGTTCTTTGAGATCCAACTCAGTAATTCTGAGAAAGGATATTATGTGATAAGTTTCCAAGTAAGGGAAAAGCCTGGTTTTTATCTGAACATTCCAGCTGATAGAAGTGTAAGCTACTGAGTGTTGATGGAGAAAAACTTATTAATTTTTTAAATAATTTTATTTTACGTGGGATATATTACATATACATACTTTAATATGTTATTTTTTGTTTAATCTTATATTCATGCCCCTTGTTTCCATGACAAATACTCTTTTTAAAAATCTTTTATATTTACTTGTAAAATGTATTTTTATTGATTTCAGAGAGGAAGGGAGAAGGAGAGAGAGAGAGAAACATCAATGATGAGAGAGAATCATGGATCAGCTACCTCCTGCACACTCCCTACTGGGGATCAAGACCACAACCCCAGCATGTGCCCTTGACCGAAATTGAACCTGGGACTTTTCAGTAAGCAGGCCCATGCTCTATCCACTGAGCCAAACTGGCTAGGGCTTAACGAATTGTGTGGGGTTTTTAAAAATTAAATGATTGGGGTTTTTTTAAGCTCTCCAAAGATATTTTCTTTTAATTTGTTTATAAAGTTTAAATTTTTTCTACTTTAAAAAATGAAATTTTTCAGTCAGGTGCACTATTTTATTGATTTTTTACAGAGAGGAAGGGAGAGGGATAGAGAGTTAGAAACATCAATGAGAGAGAAACATCGATCAGCTGCCTCCTGCACACTCTCCACTGGGTATGTGCCCGCAACCAAGGTACATGCCCTTGGCCAGAATCGAACCTGGAACGTTTCAGTCCGCAGACCGACGCTCCATCCACTGAGCCAAACTGATTAGGGCGTGGACTATTTTCTACATACAAAGAGAAAAAATATGGTCAGAGAGTGGTTTCTCCAGGAATGATCAAGGATTCTTCCTCCACAGGCATATTTTTTTCTTGTGTATTCTCTGCTTTGGTTGCTGACACCATCAACTTGTTAGTCAGCCAAGCCAGAAACTTGGGAATTGTTCTGGATGCATTGTTTCTCCATCTCTCACCTATACAGCTTGTCTGTCAATATCCTGTCTTGCCCATTCTTGTGACTTATACTTTGGCCTAGGCCATCCTTAACTCCATCCAGGACTTGGACACCAGCCTGAGAGTAGGTCTTTTTGTTTCTAAAGTCTTCTCCAATCCATTCTTCATACCTATGCAGGATGACAGCACCTCAAAACCTTTCAGTGGCCCCTCATCCCCTAGGTCAAAGTTCAAATTCTTTGTCATGACACAGGGCTTTTCATTTCCTAGCCCTGCCTACTTTCCCATCCTACCTCCCTTCTCATTCCGACTTCCCCACATGTTTTACGCTGGAGTGATGCAGAACTACAGTGACAGGCACAA